CCTCAACCTTCAACTTTTTTAGTTCCTTGTCACTTCACTTCTCGAAATTTTTACATTTGACGAAATTTCGAAATTCACAAAATTTCAATTCCAACTGATCGAAAAAATCCAAAAAAAAATTATTTTCCAAAAAAATTATTCTTTTTTTTTATCCACCAAAAAAACTGCGATACCGCAAAGAAAAAAAAACCCGTCCACGCGAGCCGAACGACGGGAGCACAATGAATGAATGAATATTTGAACTCTAAAACGGGTTTCGAAAATGCAAGAAAAAAAAAGTTTTTTTTTTCTGTGTGTAAAAGAAAAATAAAGTATATTTTTGATGAATGGGGTGAGGAACTGATGATGAGTTTGTGGAATCTTTTTTGAAGCTGGGTTTCGTTTTTTTTTTTGTGAAAGATTTTTAAGATTAAGTCAAGATTGAATTTATCAATTTAAGAAATTTCTTTGAGAAAATTTTTTTCTGGATTGAAGTTTAGTGATTAGAGTCAGTTCAATATAGTTTCAGGACAGTCTAGCTACACGTTAGTCTCAAAATTTAAAGCTTGATCAAATTCTTTTTATCACATTAGAAACTGGAATCTCTCTGTTAATATTGAAACCGATTAAAGAAATTGTAAAGGTTCTTAAATTCATCAATTTCAATCAACACTGATTATGAATTATGAAAATTTGAGCTTATTATAGCTCGAATAATTTGAGTCGGTTAAACGAATAGCCTAAAAGCTTAAAAACACGAAATAAAATTAAAATTAGATGAATCAAATTTCTAATGATCAAAATGTAAGTTTTTTTTTCCAATATTGAAAGAATTAAGGTTGTCTCCAATAAAACTAGCTTAAAGCTGACTTTTAATAGTTCTGATAACCAATCTTAGCCGAAACTAAATTTACATTGATTTTATTATGATTCAAAAAGCTGAATTGAACTTTAATATTTGAATCGAGAGTTATCTTTTCATTTCAGAACTGTTCAATATAAGATAGGTTTTTAAAACCTTTAACTTTTTGAGAAATCTCCAAAATCCTTTAATTTCAGAAGCCACAAGTGAGAAACCTCTGAACATAATTCAAACTTTCATCCTTAAAAATCTAAATTTCACAAAAATTCACAATTCTAAAATTAAATTCAAATCCACAAAACCATCAAGTTACATCAGCCGTCAGCCCTAAAACACTATTTATATATAGAACAAAAATTTTCTTGTTTATTCCTCTTCACCAAAATCTCCTCTCTCGATTCTTACGGAAAGAAAAAGAAATCACAAACGCGATATTACAAGAAATCTCAAAAACACAATGAATTTTATGCAACGATCTTCTCTCATTTCTCTCACAAATTCTCTTTCATTTATGAGAAAATCATCATCTTTTTTTTATTATTTTATTATCAGCGCACTATTCACATACAGCCGTAGCACATACATCCACAAACTTTTAAACCATTTATTTATTTTTTAATTTTTTGTTTACAATTCTCACATGCCGGTGCATTTAAATTCAGGGAAAAATTGAGACAGAGAGAAAGAGTGAGAGTAAAAAAATTAGCGGCGTAAAGTCTTTTAACTCAATATTTGTGTGTCATGCATGCACGATTTGTTTATATGCTTATGAATTTGTGTCATTTTGTGTTAATTGCATTACGAGTTTTTCACGTAGCCTAGAACTCAGTTCTTTTTCGTGCTCCTGAGCTACCGACAAACAGGAATTAAATGTCTAGTCACTTGGAAAATTTATTTTTAATCCTCTTTAACATGAAATTATTTTTAATCCACATTTTTGTCAACCACACAAAAAAAACTCGTCTTTTCGTCACGATCGTTTAAGTTCAACTAATGAAGAAAATTTACTTTTTAAAACCATAAATAGAACAAAAACGTTTGATTCGTTGAGTGTTGATGCAACCTTCCGACACTTCGGGCATGTTAAAGGATATGGAATGCGACGAGTGTGCGCAGAATGTGATGAAAGCACGTGGAATGATACGAATATTGTTTGTTTTTCATACCAAAAATCTTTTTACTTGCGTTTTTGTTTTGTTTTTGTTTCTTCGAATGGAAAAGCGAGGATTTTTTTTTTTCATTTCATATCTCGAAGGATAATTTATTGTGGGAAACATTTTTCGCTCGTTTATTTTCCTTGCGACTCCGCCCTTTTGAAAGGAATTGTTTTTATTTTTTGTTGAGGATTTTTTGTGATTGTTTTAAGATTTTTTGAATTGTTTTAAGATTTTTTAAATGATTTAAAGATTTAATATTTTTTAATTCGATTTAAAATTTAAATGTTTGTTCAAAATCTTTATAAAATGTTAACAAACCAGACTTAAAGTTTTTTAAGAAGACAAATACAAATTCAAGATCCTTGATATAATGTACATGATAATGAGTACATGACTTATGTCATGTGCATCGAAAAAGACATTTCTTTCATTTAAGAATGAACAATCATTATTTCGTAAAATTTGTAAATAAATCTTGAGATTAATTTAAAATCTTGTATTAAATCTAAAGATTCTTATGGAAAGTCTCAAAAATTCACATTGAATTGATAATTTAGGATTAAACTCCATCTTCTTACAAACAATTGATGAATTAAATCCACTGCTTTATGTTAAAGGAATAACTCTTAAAAAACACTGGAAATTAGATTTGAATTTGGATACAAATGTCTTAAAAACTGCAGAATTAGTAATTTTACCTGCTTATTACACAGCATTCAGCAGAACAATTCATTAATCTTTTCCTAATAAAGCGAAGTTCTTGGAACAATTTAAATTTGTCAAAAACAAGAGTTCAAATGAAGTTTATGTACCTAGCGAGACTAACTAGCAAATTGCTAGTCTTTCTATTCTACTACTTGAAATTTTCTAGTAATAATTAAAACAACTTACTATTAGTAAATTACACTTGATATTTAATAGCAAATTACTAGCAAATTACCATGCGAAATGTTTGATCAAATCTGCTTAAGTTCGAATCCTATGAAAAATCATCAAAAAAAGAATTTTTTGCGTCATAAAAAATTTTGTTCTAAATTTGGCATTTGCCATTTAAATAGGGGTAAATAGCAAGTAGCAAATGGAAGGTTATCCAGGAAATTACTAGGAAATTACTAGTAAATTTCTGCTAGGGTGTCACTTTTACAGTAGCGTGCAGAATATTATGGACGGTCAAAAAAATTTCGTTTTTATTCTCAAAAGCATACTTAACGTTGTCTAATTTAGATGAAATTTTCACCACTTATACTGTTTTTCATGTGCTTTCACATGATAAAATATAAATATGCTATAGTTAATAATTTTTGAAAAAACCGTTAAAATTCAAAATCAGGTGCGTGCAAAATATTATGGACGATTCTTTTTTGGTAATTTTTTTTATGTTTAAGCTATTTAAGCTTGCTTTTTAAACTTTAAACATGAAGTTCAAACATTTTACTCCAATTTTATACATTCTTAATGGATGTGTAGCAAGTTTAAGGCATAAAAAAATCATGATGAAAAATTATGCAAATATTTTACTATTTTTGTTACTTTTCATCAATAGCAAGCATTAATATCGGTTATTTTAGACTGTAATGTATTGAATTCTTAACTATCTTTCTATTGATATATAATTTGTCTGTATTAATATAGTCTAAATGAAAAAAATTACGAAAAAAGTTCATTGAAGAGGGAAAAATTTCATCAACAAAAATATAAATTGATTAAAATTTCTTAAATATCCATGAAATATTACCCAATTTAGTCTTATTTTCTCACATTTATGTTGTAGATTAGTAATTGAGCAGTTATAAATTTATATTTTGAGTAATAAAGTCATAAAAAGAGAGCCTTCTGTATGACCAAAAGAAAATTTTAAAGACGAAAAAAATATTTGTCATTAAACTTTTAAGTATGCATTTTTCTCTCCTGTTTTTGGCTTAAATAGTTGGCAAAGAGTATTTTGAGTTGTTTTTAATTGATTTACATAAATTTATACTGCATAAAATGTAAAAAATATTATGAAATATTTTTCAAGTTTCAACATGACTTTTTTCATAGTATTGGCTCATAAAAATATATCTTATCGTGCAATATTAAAATGTAATTCTACCTAATTACTAATCTACAACATAAATGTGAGAAAATAAGACTAAATTGGGTAATATTTCATGGATATTTAAGAAATTTTAATCAATTTATATTTTTGTTGATGAAATTTTTCCCTCTTCAATGAACTTTTTTCGTAATTTTTTTCATTTAGACTATATTAATACAGACAAATTATATATCAATAGAAAGATAGTTAAGAATTCAATACATTACAGTCCAAAATAACCGATATTAATGCTTGCTATTGATGAAAAGTAACAAAAATAGTAAAATATTTGCATAATTTTTCATCATGATTTTTTTATGCCTTAAACTTGCCACACATCCATTAAGAATGTATAAAATTGGAGTAAAATGTTTGAACTTCATGTTTAAAGTTTAAAAAGTAAGCTTAAATAGCTTAAACATAAAAAAAATTACCAAAAAAGAATCGTCCATAATATTTTGCACGCACCTGATTTTGAATTTTAACGGTTTTTTCAAAAATTATTAACTATAGCATATTTATATTTTATCGTGTGAAAGCACATGAAAAACAGTATAAGTGGTGAAAATTTCATCTAAATTGGACAACGTTAAGTATGCTTTTGAGAATAAAAACGAAATTTTTTTGACCGTCCATAATATTCTGCACGCTACTGTAATTAATCTTTGTCGATTTCGACAGAACTCATAGAAGAAGATTGTTTATAGGCAATATTGTGTTTTGACATTACCAATTCAAGGTTATGGATTACTACTAAGAGTTGATTTCAATCTCTGATCAAAACTCAATTGACATTTGAATAATGTTGTCAGAATTTAAATTAACCAAAAAACCAACACCACAAAGTTACAAAAATGAGCATGATCTGCAATAGGTGTTTAACAAATCAAGCTTACCTTGCTGAAAGCTGAAATTTCATCGATGATTGACTTTTCTTCTCATTTCATTTTAATATTCTAATTTATTTGCCTAATTTCATTAACTTTATCATTTTCACTAATTTGATGCTGATTCTCCATTGGACCAGTTCCTGCATCTGTTATTCTCGAACTTCCAAGGCATTCACCATCTTTGTAGAGCACAGCATACTGACCAGGTGTGATTGATCTTAAAGGTTCGTCTAATTTCACGAGCAGCTTATCGCCTTTATCATTTGCTTTATAGACAGTACAGTTTACTTTTGGCTTTGTGTGTTGAAATCTGAAGTCACATTTGAGAATGTTCTGGTTGCTGAATGGATTCTCTCGAATCCAGAATGGATTTTCTGTATAGAATATGTCACTCCATAGAAGATGGTGATCTGTACCTGATGCTGCATAAATCTGAAAGAATAATGTGAATTTTATTGATGCTGTCTTTAAATTAAGATTTTAAAAACTTACAATCTGCGTCACTGGATCTTTCTTGTACACAAAATATCCCTTTGTACCCCACATTCTCGTTCGCTGTCCTAAAGTCCAATGATGAATTCCTCGATGCTCTCCAAGGACCTTTCCAGTGTCAATATCAACAAATTGCCCAGGCTTGTCGTCAATAAATTCAGCTATGAATGACTGAAATGTCCTTTTACCGACAAAACAAAGTCCTGTCGACTCAACTTTCTTGGCTATATTCTTAAGTCCAATTTCACTTGCAATCTCCTTGACTTGCCCTTTTGTCAGAGAACCAACAGGGAACATGCATTTCTTTAAGGCTTTCTGTGGCACTTGCGATAGGAAAAATGTCTGATCCTTAAACGTATCGACAGATTCTAATAGCTTGACAGTCTTTTGTTCATTGTAATGCTCTAAGAAGCTCCCAAAAGATGTTCTTGCATAATGTCCCGTTGCAATTGCGTCACATCCAAACTTGTCAATAGCTGCTTTGTAGAAAAGATCAAATTTAATGATTCTGTTGCAAAGAACATCTGGATTTGGTGTGATCCCTTCCTCGTACTCTTTGATGAAGTTCCTGAATGAGAATTGATTTAATAAGTTTTCTTAGATCGAGTAAATCACAAAATCTTACGAAAAAATGTCATTCCAATATTCTTTCACGAAATTCACTTCCATTAATGGAATTTTCAGCCTGTCAGCTACGAATTGTGCATCCTCAAGCTCTCTGTCACTAGAACAATATCCTTTTTCATCACGATCATCCCAATTTTTCATCTAAAATTAAGATTCAATTAAAGTAAACAAACTTTTTCACAAATTTTCAAACTTACATAAATTCCACAAATTTCAAAGCCTTTTCTCTTCAACAAATAAGCAGAAACAGCACTGTCAACACCGCCGCTTAAGCCTAAAGCAATTCTTTTGAAGATCATCGTGTAGTTCTCATTTAATTTAATGATTTTTAACTTGATCAAGTTCACCGAATGAAATGTAAATATGTTTGGGGACATTACCAAATTATGTAACGCTTTTTAAAGGGTGGGGGGGGGGGGGGTTCTGTAATTTTATGAAAGTTTGTGAAAAAGGTGGAGAGTGGGTTTGAAAATCCAGTGTTTTTGCCTTACATTACTATTGAATGGCTCCTAATAAAATAAATTTAAATTTTAAATAACGGTTGATTTTTTTGGGGGTACGCAGCTAATACATTTTAAATTGTGTATTCACTTTAAATTCGTAATTTAATTGCAGAACTGGACTTGCTTAAAATCCCTCATGCTCATCGAAAAATCAATAAAAATCACACAGGTTTAATTCAAGCTATTTTGTGTACAGAAAGTGACACGTTGCTCAATTTGTGGTGAGTAACGTCATCTAGTGTTGAGTTGATGAATAAATAATTTGAATAAATTTTGAAAGTTGGAAGTTTTGAATTTTGAAAGACCGTTAATGATATTTTTAACTGTAATATATTAATTGGATGAATTTGTGGATTAAAAAACAAGATAGAGTGATTCGTGGTTATTAATATTGATGATTTTCATGAAAATTTACTTGTTGTATGTTTTGAAACTTCTGAAATTCTTAATTAATAAAAGAGTTTGACAACATGTGACAGCTAATTGATTCATAAAAGCTTTTAAAACACAGGATTTAATTAACAATGAATTTGGACTGTTTTAATATGTCAAACATTCAAGTTAAATCTAAACTTGTTCGGTTTGGGTCTTGAAATTGGTGTAAAATGCATTTAAACTTTAATGACACTCTTTTGTGCCACATCTCATTATAAAGTATCATTAGCTACTAGAAATATCTCAACACGTTCACAACCATGACGTATCCATCAAAAGAAATTCTTTATTTTGACGAAAACTATTGCAAAGTTGCAAAAACGTGAATTTTATTCAAGATTCTTCAACAAGGAAACAACCACAAATTGAATTTATTTTAATCCTTGAAATCAAAAGGATTTAAGAACAACAGAAATTTTTGTTAAGAAGGAAATTCACGTTTTCATGCACAACCTCAAATCAATCCTGGCCACGTGAAAAGTTAAAATTCCTTTGAATTCTTATCGTTGTCCATTTGCTTGCGTCAATCTCGAATGTTCAAGTCCATAAAATCCCACAGAGATCTTCAATTAATCCTTCACATTCAGGTGGATCTAGAATTACCAATTATTTAATTCAATTATCATCATACCTACTGCTGAGGAAAATATTAATTAAAATTTGTCATATCCAGTGGTTGTAGATGTGTCAGTCAGGTCTTTTGCGTAACAAAAGAAAATTAATTTTTTTTAAATGCTTTGTATTACTGTCCATATTGTGTTTACTATTGTATCAACATGCAGGATATAATTGAGCTATCACTGAGTAAACAATTGCGTAAATAAATGAATTAATTAAAATTATTTGTAATGTGCGTAATATTGCAATTTATAGCTACAATCATTGGTGGTCAGAAAGTATTGGTGGTTTTCACCACACGCTTTTTTGCTTTTGATTCAAGCTTCATTCAAGTTGAACGTGAATCATTAAAATAACTTCGGAAATCCTTCCTTTTTCTCTGATTAAGATCTTTTTACATTTGGTGCTAATAAATGTCAAGTCATGGATGATTAGACTCACGGAAGTTTAAGGAGAATGATTCTGAATTTTTATGATTTTTTTCCCAATCTCCAAAAACTTTTGCTATCCATTTATTGTGTAATTTATCATGTAATCCCTTGCAGCCTTGAAACCCATGCACTATTCAACAACTAAAATCAACAAAGCTTACAGTATTTAACTTAATGATAGAATTCATTAAACATTTTAAAAATTACAGAGTTGATCAATCAATATTGATAGAATTCAAACAAAAAATACAGCTTCCTCATCCTCAAACAACCACTTGTTGACTTTTCATTGTTTCTTAATTATTGTAAAGAATAATAAATGATTTCCTTAAAATCTTTTATTTCATTTTGATTTTTATTCATTAATTTTTCATTTTGATCAATTTAAGCAGTGGTTCTCAATCTTTACATCTTTATTTGGTATTGTTATTATTTCAAAATATTTCGAAATTGATCAATTTGTATTGAGTTTTACAAAATAATGACTAAACTCTTTTAGATCAACCAGATCTCTTCGTATGAATATTAAAATAACTCATAAAACCTATATTATACACAAATTAGTTCCATCTAGATTCTCGAACAAACAAGTCTTCAGTGTGCCGCAACTTATCACTCCATTAACACTGACACAGTCAATAGAGAATGCTTTAAGGCTATTTTATTACAATAAGAAGTGAAGATGAAAGTTTACTTGGAATTTCCAAAATATTCATTTCTCGCCGAATATTTAATTTCCTTAAAATACATTCAAAGGCTGTAATATTTCCTCAGTAAATAAGGGGTCGTTCACTTATGACGTCCAACATTTAGGGGAGGAGGGGGGTCTGAAGCTGTGTGGCACCTCAATACAAAAGATTTTTTTTGTATGAAAATTTTGTGACAGAGGGGGGGGGGGGGGGAGGGGGGTCTATAGAATTAGTATAAACCGCAAAACCGCAATACAAAAAAACAAATTACCCAGACAGTAAAAAATTTAACAAAAAAATTATAAGCAGCATTTTTGAATGATCAGAAATTGATTGTGACTCTGCATAATTTTTGTTATACATAATGAAGCACGAGACCGTTCGACTTGGCAAACACAGGCTTTCAAATATTTACTCTCGTTGTACAGGGAGCAGCTCATTATGAAGGGTTCTGTAGATAGAAAAGAACTATTCCTGCAAATATTAATTTTCATTTTTTTAAAAAATTTACAAATTGATTTTTTAAGTCTTTGTTTAAGTAGTTAAAAATTATTGCGTCATATTTCGATATTTAACAATTTATACCAATTTATACATGCTTAAATGCTTAAAAGACATTGTTCAATGGCTACAATTACTTCTCTTGTTCTTCAGAACTTGTTAACTTCATTCCTGTCGAACTCTTATCAATTCTTTCAACATTTTAAGTTTGCCGCCTTTTAATCAAATTGTGGTACCTAAAATTAATCGTGCGGAACCGATTTTATAGATGGATGTAGGTTTTGTCACTCAAACAAACTTCCACATCCTTGTAGATCTTCATATAACTGCTTCAAAAGAGGCTATCTTTGACCATTCGATTAGAGATCCTTGCCACTCGGGCACCGAGGTACTTATCTCACTTCGGCTATCCGTCATAAACATATAATGTTCCTATGCTCAGGCCTCTCTACTACATTAAGTGCTGATTTTTTTGATTTCTTCGAAAGAACTGTGGCTCAATTGATAATTAACGATTGATGTTAAAACTTGAACTTCACAATGGAACCAAGAATGTTCAGTTCTCTACCAATAAATTGATTCAAATTCAGTTTAAACTAATTTCAACAGCTTTGATATTCACAGATGTGAAATTTTTCAATCCATCTTGACTCAAAGAAACTTGTTTTTATGAGATAAACCAAAAAAAATACTCATTGAGCATTTCCTCCCACAAAATAATGTAATGATTTATGTGATGAGTAAATAAGATCAAAAATATTTCCAAATGCTCATTAAATCATCAAAAAAAAAGATTCCAAAAGAGCTATAAACAAAAAAAAATCAAAGATAAACAATGACAAGTTCAAACGGAGCTGAATATTTTGTTGGTAAAAAAATTTGTTTTTCCATCAAATGTAAATATTTATCAGAAATATTGGTGCTGTTGATTTGAAATGTGAAAGTTCCTCAATGCCAAAGCCACGTGTTGATGAAAAGAAAATCATAAACAATTTCCATAGAACATGCGCCTTGTTTATTCTCTCATTAAGTGTCCCACAATTCTCTCCGTTTGTGTCTACATCATCGAGACTTTCATTGTCAGTACAAAACAGCAGCTGTGAGCAACACGTATGTCCAATGTCAATGGAGTTCTTTTCATGTTTCATTCATTGTCAGCATGTCATCAAAGGATTTTTATTTTCTTTGAGAACCGTATTAGCTTGGACACAAACGAAGTTGTTTATTTCCATCAATTAGCAACAAATTGGGTTGAAGAATTGAACGATACTTTGAATTCCGTTATTGTGTACAAAGGACATTGTTTGGATTTATATTAGGAATGTTTATTGAATCGGTTGGAATGATACTAAGCTTTGTGGTAGACTAAGCTTTTTAAAATGACTTTGAAGAAAAAAGGGATATTATCAAATTCTGTATTAATGATTGTGTGGTTCGGTATTGGATATGATGAACACATTGTTTATTTATTAATAAACTTAATCAAAGATATCTTACGGCTTAATATAATCACAACGATCTTTATTGCTTAAAGATCGGAATCTGACTATGTAAATATTCATATGAAGGGGTTGACAACTATAGAAGGAGAAGCAAACTAATTATAGTTGCATACATAATTTGAATATTAAATAATCGTTACTATTTTTTCTAAATTCAGTGAAGCAAACTTGAGCGCACATGCTGAAAAACATCAAACTAAATACACGTCATTTATAAACAATCCCTAAAAGACATGGATTTTATTAACATTGCTGTATCTTCCTAATCCACAAACATATGCCAATCATTGTACTTATGTCCATTCTGAATCTTTATGTCATAACAGGATTTACTCCGAGAATACAAAGTTTAAACAGAGACAACTGAATGATTAAAAGTTATGTGGACTATCGTCTTTAATCCGTTTTATATTATCATTTAAAACATTTCATAATATAAACTCATGTTTTCCAATGAGACTTGATGGATCGTTCACAAATGACGTCTGTTGATTTATAAACAGATTAAATGTTTTCAAGTAGAATAGCACAGAACTCGAGACGCAGAAGCTGCTCAGCAAACCCTAAAGAATATTTCATTTCAAGCTTAAGCCTGATACGAACAATTCAAGAGATTTGACCGTTACAGTTTCCAAAAAAACTTGTAAAAATGTTTTATTTGTCTGTCTGCCATACAAAATTCGAAGTTTCATACCCTGCAGCTCGAAATTTTCGAAAATCACAAAAAAATAAAAACTT